TTTCTACTTTCATCTGAGTTTTGGTTACATAGGTGTATACATATGAGTACTGGAGTTCAGCTTTGCAGCTAAGATCTATACTATATAGTTTTGCATACATTTATTGAGCATTACAGTTAATATCTACACTTTATATAAATTATACCTCAATAAAAAATAATTTCTTATAAATATCACCTATGAGCCTGTGAGATTATTCCTCAGGGATGTTCATGTAGAATTGATATTGCTTGATCATTGGAATATATGTGCAGTCTACAAGTATGCCTATTTTACCACATCTGTGCCAACACCCATCATTGTTCAGATTTCTTATCTTGTGGCCAATGTAATGGATATAAAGTGGTACTGTATTGTCCCACCCCCTTTCAAGTATCTGCTATCCATTTGGGTTTCCCCTCTGTGAATTGCTTGTTCCTATTTTATCTTTTCTAACCATACAATTTTTTCTCTTCCTTCTTTATTTGTACCTAATGGTCTCATTTACTTTTCATAGAGGCTTTTTTCCCACTAAGATGCACTAGCTAGTGGTACCATTTACTGTCTTCAGGATATCTGTTCCAATAGTAATTAACTCAAAGGAGTCTTCCATTTGGAATGCTCAAGGTTTTTATTTGTATTCTGATGACTTCCATGTTGACACCACTAGGTGCCATATTATAATTGTGCTCTAGTACTTATTTACCTGCATACTATACAATTCCCATTGAATATTTTACTTTATTCATCCTCAATATGGGAGGAATTGGCATCATCATTACCCAAATCAGGAATCCTCACATTCCAAATTTTCTCAGATTCTGCTGTTTCTTGTTTCTTTCCTCTTAGCTGTCTTCTCTTACTAATTACTCTGCAATTTCTATTTTTTCTTTTTTTTTTTTTTTTAATTTTTATTGGATTTTAGGTTTTGGGGTACATGAGCAGAGCATGCAAGACAGTTGCGTAGGTACACACATGGCAGTGTGCTTTGCTTTTCTTCTCCCCTTCACCCACATTTGGCATTTCTCCCCAGGCTATCCCACCCCCCCCCACAGGCCCCCCCCTTTTCCCCCCAATAGACCCCAGTGTTTAGTACTCCCCTTTCTGTGTCCATGTGTTCTCATTTTTCATCACCCACCTATGAGTGAGAATATGCGGTGTTTCATTTTCTGTTCTTGTGTCAGTTTGCTGAGGATGATGTTCTCCAGATTCATCCATGTCCCTACAAACGACACAAACTCATCATTTCTGATTGCTGCATAATATTCCATGGTGTATATGTGCCACATTTTTCCAATCCAGTCTATTATCAATGGGCATTTGGGTTGATTCCAGGTCTTTGCTATTGTAAACAGTGCTGCAATGAACATTCGTGTACATGTGTCCTTATATCCAAAAGACTATAAATCGTTCTACTATATTTTTTCTTTTTTAAGAATACTACTTAGCCTCTCATCTTAATTCCAGTAACATCACTCCAAACAGGTCTGTATTTTTTTATGCTTGGATTATTCTGCTCCTAATGGAAGCTACAGATTCCATTATTGTTTCCAGTTAATCTTTGAAATGGTACTGATAGATGTCATTACCTAAGACATTGCATTTATCTTTGACATTAGCCTCATGAAGTAAACTTACAGTTATTCCATGTTATATAACACATCACCAATAACTTTTCCCTCAGTGCCATCTGTAAGGTTACTATTATCTCCAGTTTAAAATTTTATCTGTACAGTTTCCTTTATGTATGCTTACTTCAAATTGTTTGCCTTGTTTTTAATGCCTGCCATATATGAAACGTGTCTGCGTGTCTGGGCTTTTTATTATTTTGTGCTCTGCCTGTCCAGGTAATATACATTTTCCTTTTGTGTTCAGGCTTCCATCTACTCCATGAAATGGTCCTTACTTACTTCAGATTTATGACTCCATTTTTTCAAAGACAGAGTCTTGCTCTGTCACCAGGCTGGAGTGTAGTAGCACAATCTTGGCTCACTGCAACCTCTGCTTCCTGGGTCCAAGCGATTCTCGTGCCTCCGCCTCCCTAGTAGCAGGGATTACAGGCATGCACCACTAAACCCAGCTAATTTTTGCATTTTTAGTAGAGACGGTGTTTCACCATGTTGCCCAGGATAGTCTCAATCTCCTGACCTTGTGATCTCCCACCATGGACTCCCAAAGTGCTAAGATTACAGGCCTGAGCCACTGCGCCCAGCCTATTACTCCATCATTTATAACTCTTCCCCATTTCTGTTTCCCCATGTCCCAGATGCTTTTGCCACCATTAAATTTCAGAATAAGACCTTGTGTCTTATTTTCATTATTCAAATGCTAAGCATGAAGAAAATACTTACTGATATTAACTAATTGAATTTGTGGGGGATAAGAATAGAATTTTGCTGTGTTTTAGAAGGATTTAAAAATTCTACTGAGTGGAATTCAACACAGATTGTTATTGGAAAGTAAACACAATGGCACCAAATATTTAAAAGTTTACCTTCTTATGCATTGTTTCTGTTATAATTAGAAGTCTATTACAGTGATTAGCAAAATGAATAGCATAGGGAGTGCCTGCTTTCGACATTCAGAAGAAAAAATCTTACTAGCAATATGATGGATTAATTTTCTAAGTAAAAAATTCTTAAACTGCTTTCTGAAGCACATAGACCTTTTTTAATGGCATAAAAGAAAATGCTAAGCAGGCTTAATGGGGAAAGAGGACATGTCCTTTGATTTGAAAATAAACTGGACTCTTTTTTGAGGCATCTTTATGTGTGACAAGTAGAATGTAACCTTGCGTGAGCAGCTCTTTGTTCTAGACTGATGATTCTTCATTTATGTACTGTTCATAGAATCTGGGGTTCAGGAGAGGTGTAAAGAAGCTTTTTATTGCAGGAGCAAAGTTTTTACAATGAACATTGGTACTAGTGATGTAATAAATAATTGTCTGGTACAGCAAGGGATTTATAATTTAAGTAAAGTGAAAAGCAGAACCACTTCTCAAACCGTGCCTAGGGATCCAGTCCTTAATATGTCCAGAATAAATTAAAGCCAGACGTGTGGGAATGAAAATGCAACCTAAGAATAGGAGGATGAGATTTGGGATGGAACGTCTGTCTGAAGTACAGTATCAAACCAACTAAAGGGGGACAAGTGAATTTGATGACTCAGAGTATTCTCAGTATCTAAAATCTCTTACTGAAAGTCAGTGGTATAATATGCTCAGGTTAAAATTATCAATAATCTAATACATTTCGTGCACTGTACTAGGAATAGAAACATCCATAATTCCCACTCTGGGCAAGAATAATGTGTGAATTATGCTAATTCTAATTTCTAGCAATAGATTGACAAATACAGTGACTAAAATAGTAAATAATTGTATTTCCCTCTTATGGGAAACCTCATTGCTCATGATTGCTCAGGAATCCAAGCTCCTTCCAACACACATTACTCCACCATCTCAGGTTTTTTGTGGCATCTGCGTGCTTGAATCTGTGTTTCTGCCAACTCCAGGTTTTAGTAAGCAAGAAGGTAGAAGTGAATATGGAGAAAACATGCCGATGGTCTCAGTGCTCCCGTTTGAAAGTGGCAGTATCGTTTTCTCTCACATTCTTTTTTTGAGAACATTGTCACATGGCCACACCAATTTCAAAGGAGACTGAGAAATGCTCTATGACTGGACATCCATATGCCCAGATGCTACTCTGTTAAATGCAAAAGAACAGGGAAACTGATTCTAGTGGATAGCTTTCAGTCTGTACCACAGAAGACTGTCTTCTCTGCTATTTTTTGTTAGATATATATAATGCAAGCCCAAGAAAGCAATTACACCTGGATGGAGAGTTGGAGTATAGACATCTATTTACTGTTTGTATAGGTTAGGATGGCTATGGCTACAATATTTTCATAGACATGAATAAATTATTTTTATCACATATATTTTATATTTTTGCTGGTGAGCAAGATTAGTGAGGATTTAGAATTGAAAGCTAATGAAGACTTAAACTCCAAGCCAAGGCTCTCCTAGATCTTTCCCCTGAAAACTCTTGTATTGTCAATCTTCTGTCTACCCTACCTAATAGCCAAGCTTCCTACCAAAATAGAACTAGACTGCTTATGTTGAACACCAGATCCAACACTTAATAACCATGTTTTATGGCAAATTATGTAACTGTTATGACCTTCACTTTTCTTATCTACAAAAGGTAGATAGTAATAGTAGATACCTCATAGGACCTCTGAAAGGATTAAATGAGTTCATATGTACAGTCATGTACCACATAATGACATCGAGTGCCTTAAGATTGCAATGAAATTGGAAAATGTCTATCACCAAGTTACATCATGGCCATTGCTGGGTTGTAGTGCAATGCATTCCCTTTTCTATGTTTAGATATGTTTAAATACACAAATACTTACTATTGTATTATAGTTGCCTATGGGATTCAGTACAGTCACATATTGTATGGATTTGTAACCTAGGAGCTTCATCGAGAAGGCATACTTGATTGCACATCAAAGAATTCATACTGGAGAGACGCCTTATGAATGCAGTGACTGTGGGAATTCTTTCTCTTCTAAGTCAGAACTCCAGATGCATAAGCGAATTCACACAGGAGAGAAACCCTGTACCTACTATACATCTAGGCTATACCATGTAGCCTAGATGTGTAGTAGGTTATACCATTTGGGTTTGTATAAATACTGTACACTCTGTGATATTTGCACAAAAATGAAATTGCCTAATAATAGTTCTCTCAGACTGTATCTTTGTTGTCAAGCTTCGTGTGATGGCATGTATTTCTTAGAACAGTGCCTGGACTATTGCAAGTGTCATGTAAGAGTTTGGCACATAAAAGTGCTATATATGTATTTCTTGTCATCAGTGTCATATTAGATTGATTAACTGATTTCAGTAAATACAAACTGTTCAGTATTCAGTTTGTATTAGCTTACGTGTAACTTTTAATCTCTTGCTGTCTGTTGTTTGCATCAATTTTACTTTTTCTTTCTCTTTGTAGATGGGAAATTTGGCATTAAGCCTTCCCAGAAAAGAATTTCTGGAAAATCTACATTTCATAGTGAAATGGAGGGTGAAGATACACGAGATGATTCATTGTATTCTATTTTAGAAGAATTGTGGCAAGATGCTGAGCAGATACAGAGATGTCAGGAAAAACAAAACAAACTTCCGAGTCACACTACTTTCCTCAGTAAGAAAATATTGAATACAGAGTGGGATTATGAATATAAAGACATTGGAAAATTTGTCCATCCAAGTCCAAATCTCATTCTTTCACGGAAAAGACCCCATAAATGTGATTCATTTGGGAAGAGTTTTAAGCATAATTTAGACTTACATATTCATAATAAAAGCAATGCAGCAAAGAACCTGGATAAAACTATTGGGCATGGTCAGGTTTTCACCCAGAGCTCTTCTTATAATCACCATGAAAGTACACATGCAGGCATGAAGTTCTGTGAACGTAATCAATGTGGAAAAGTCCTCAGCCTCAAACATTCACTCAGTCAAAATGTGAAATTTCCCGTTGGAGAGAAAGCAAACACATGTACTGAATTTGGGAAGATCTTCACCCAGAAGTCACACTTCTTTGCTCCTCAGAGAATTCATACTGTGGAAAAACCTCATGAGCTTAGCAAATGTGTAAATGTTTTTACACAGAAGCCACTACTCAGTATATATCTGAGAGTTCATAGAGATGAAAACTCTACATATGTACTAAATGTGGGAAGGCCTTCATCCAGAATTCAGAATTAATTGTGCATGAGAAAACTCATACTAGAGAGAAACCCTTTAAATGCAATGAATGTGAGAAATCATTTTTCCAGGTATCATCTCTACTCAGGCATCAGACAACTCATACTGGAGAAAAACTCTTTGAATGCAGTGAATGCGGTAAAGGGTTCTCCCTGAACTCAGCCCTCAATATACATCAGAAAATTCATACTGGAGAGAGACATCACAAATGCAGTGAGTGTGGGAAAGCCTTTACCCAAAAATCAACACTCAGGATGCATCAGAGAATTCATACAGGAGAGAGGTCTTATATCTGTACTCAGTGTGGGCAGGCCTTCATCCAGAAGGCACACTTGATTGCACATCAAAGAATTCATACTGGAGAGAAGCCTTATGAATGCAGTGACTGTGGGAAATCTTTCCCTTCTAAGTCACAACTCCAGATGCATAAGCGAATTCACACTGGCGAGAAACCCTATATATGCTCTGAATGTGGGAAGGCTTTCACCAACAGGTCAAATCTCAATACTCACCAGAAGTCTCATACTGGAGAAAAGTCTTACATATGTGCTGAATGTGGGAAGGCCTTCACTGACAGGTCAAATTTCAATAAACACCAAACCATTCATACTGGAGAGAAACCCTATGTTTGTGCTGATTGTGGGAGGGCCTTCATCCAGAAGTCAGAGTTGATTACACATCAGAGAATTCATACTACAGAGAAGCCTTATAAATGTCCTGACTGTGAGAAATCCTTCTCCAAGAAACCACATCTCAAAGTACATCAACGAATTCACACAGGGGAGAAACCATATATATGTGCAGAATGTGGGAAAGCCTTCACTGATAGGTCAAATTTCAATAAACATCAAACAATTCATACTGGAGATAAACCCTATAAATGCAGTGACTGTGGAAAGGGCTTCACCCAGAAATCAGTTCTCAGTATGCATCGCAATATTCATACATGAAAGTAACCCTGTTTCTTGAAAATGAGAGCCTTATCACAAAAGTCAGGTCTAACTATATATTATAAAATGCATCCAAGACAGATCCTATATGAATATGTTGTATAAGAAAAAGCATCAGGCTATCTCACTTGAGATGGGAAAAAAATTATTCAGAAGAAACACTCTTAAGAATGCACTGAAGGAGGGAGAATTTCTATATTTGCACAGCCTCATGAAATATAGTGGAAGTCATTGGGAAAAATGTCAGTTTGGTGTGGTAGGAAAAGCCTTCCTATAGAAAGTATTATAAGTCAAATTGTTACCAAATTCTTCATAGGAAGGAGAGTGCAAATTACGTAAATGATGGTCATGTTTACTGTGTTATATTAAGCAATTTAAAGTGATAAAATGAAAGATAGTGCAGCAAAATAATATAACTGATGAGTAGACCTACTGTCAGTTCTATAGGGTGTTTGTGGCAGAACACAGTACGTAACAGGAGTAATATTCACTTTTTTTCAAATTTAGAATATATTCATCAAATGTTTCTTACTGAATATGTCTATCAAATATGTTTCTTATTGAATATTTCTATCAAGTGAATCCACAATTTAAAAGTCACTTTGGTTTTATATATACACACATCTGCAGATATAATTTTATATGAACACACAAATACAATCCTATCATTCATATTGGTGTCCATGACATAGTATCCATGACATGTTTTCTTTCATTGTGGTACAATGCAAAGTAGCCACAGATTCCTCCCATCCCAAGTAGCATCTCTTTGTCTACTGTTTGACTTTGAACTTGGCCATGTGACTTTCTTTGGCCAATGGACATTAGCAAAGAGAATCAATAAGAAGCTTGAGAAGTGTGCAAAGCTTGCCTTGAAGCTTACCCTCTCTTGCTGCTCTTTGCAAACCTGAGGAATCTCGAATTGCCCTATGGGGGGATGAAAAACCACCACATGGAGCAGTGGTGAGCCAGCCCTGCTGAGGCCTCTTAGACCAAGTAGCCTGCCAACTGTCAGAATTGGGAGTGAGGTTTACCCAGACCTCTAGCCCCAGCTGAGCCAGCCTAGCCCAGAAGAGCCATACCAGTTATTCCAGCCAATTTACAGAATTGTGAGATAAATAAAATTATAGTTGTAATCAACATAAGTTTTTGGGGTAGTTTGTTGTCCAGAAAATGCTGAGTAATATTTGAAAGTATTTTACTGGGGGAGGGGGCATAGTGGACCAAAACGTGACATGTGGCATTGGCTTTGAGTCTGAGTGGCAGGTAGAAACCGGAAAAAAACAGTGAGGAAATCTGTGAACAAAGGTTGGATAGATGGCAACCCATTTAGTAGGGAAAAATATAGAAAAGCAATTGTCATCATACTCTGTGGGAAGATAGAGAATGGACCAAATGAACTTATGGATCTGGCTAAGGAGATTTGCAGCAGTATATGGGAAGTGTCAGTTTGCTTCTTTTAGCTGCACATGATAAGATACAGAAAGAGAGAAATGAACTAAAGAAATAACTTATCCGTTGGCAAGCAGGATTCAGAAGACATACAGAAAAGACAATGATTGCTGGGTTGGAAAATAACAGTTCACATCGCTAGTCTCTCCAGCAATCAAAATATTCTTAAGGTAAAACATGGCCTCAGGGTAAAGATCAAATCATGGTTGTGTCTATAAGACTCTGTATTACAATGTGTGAAATAGTTAAGTTGGTGCTTAGGAGACCATCTCAGCTAAACTTAAGGGCTTCTAAAAATCTTCATGACATTGTACCTTAGAAGACTGACATACTACTCAAAGTTGAGAGAGATCTATCTTTGAAAGAATTTCTGATGTGGCATTTGGGGAAAGGAGTAGATCCAAACCAGATTCATAGGAAACAAAGTTTTAATAGAGTTTTACTAGTAATACTACCTCCAGGTTGGACTTCCAGGGACCGAAACAGTTCAAAATGAAAAGTGGCCCCTGGGTTCCCCTCCCTAAATTCTATGAATAGGATACAAGCTGAGAAAGTTACTCAATTGCAAGCATGGTCCATCTCTTATGGGAAATGAAGGGCATCTCAGAGGGAAGACCCAAGAACAATATATTAAAATGGACTGGGGAGCCATTCCCAGTGAGAACTGTGCCCTGATCAAGAAACATTATCTGCCCCTGGAGCCAGGGTAACTGACATTTGCTCTGTGGGATTTTAGAATTGTTATGGAACAGTGACTTATATGTGCCTCTTGGTCCTCCTCTTTTTGAATGGGAGTGTCTAACACAGTTATCCTGTACCTATCCCATCATTGTATATATTGGGTATGTGTTGGGGGGCATATAACTTGTCATTTAGCTCACAGGTGTCTGGATCAAGAAACTGAAAAACTGTACCCAGGGAACCTCAGGCACAACTGAACCTGATACAGAAGACTTGAGATCCGGGATTGGAACTTGATGCCACAATTTTGGATGAGAAATTTGGACGTCCTGGAATAGGGGTGAACATATTTTGCATGATGGGTGGTAATGTGAATAATTTGTGACCAGAAGACCTACTGTGTTAGATAGAAAAATGCTACAGATGTCTTCATCCCTATCTATGTGTCCTTTTTCAGTCTTTATATCTCTTTGTGTTTCAGGTAGAATAATTTCTATTGATCTATCTTCAAGTTCGCTGATTTTTTTTCCCTTACCTGGCTCTGTCAAGTCTGCTGATGAAACTATTGAAGGCATTATTCAACTCAGTTAGATTTTATTTTTATTTCTGATATTTCCATTTGATTCTTATAGTTGTCATATTTCTGCTGAAATTCCCCATCTTCTCATGCATGTTCATGTTTTCCCCGATACCCTTTGTCTTAGTTTGGGCTGCTATGGCAAAGCACCGTAGATTTGATGGCTCATAAACAACGGAAATTTATTTCTCACAGTTCTAGAGCATGAAAATCTGAGATCAGAATCCAGCATGGTTCGGTCTTGGTGACTGCCCTCTTCAAGGTTGCAAACTGCTGACTTCTTGTATTTTCCCATGTCTACAGACAGAGAGCTCTTTGGGATCCCGTATATAAGGGCACCAGTCCCATTCATGAGGTCTCCACCCACATTACCTAGCTACCTCCCAAAGGCTCTACCTCCTAATACCATCACATTGAGGATTAGGATTTTAACATATGAATTTGTGGGGGGATGCAAATGTTCAGCCCATAGTACCCTCTAACATACTAATCATAGTTATTTTAAACTCCCTGTCTGTTAGTTCCAACTAGTAGGTCAACTCAGTCTAGATCTGTTGATTGCTTTATCTCTTAATGGTAAATTGTCTTCTCTTGCTCTTTTGCATCTAATAATTTTTGGCTGAATGTCAGATGTTGTATGCAGGATAGTAGAAACTGAGATAAATAGCAGTTATTCCTGGAAATAGCCATGGTTGCCCTTTTGATCGGCCATTAGCATGGGGGGATTGAATCCATCTAGTCAGGAGTTAGGCTGAGTTTGTGCTTCTTTGTTGCCAGTGTTACCTTTGCTGTACTATAGACTTAAAATTCCTCTGATGTTATCTTGTGCTTGAGGTAGACACTGGCTTGCCCAGAGAATTTTTATTATTCCCAGACCACACTTGCCTTTAGGCCTGTAGGCCTTTCCTGTGTGCTAGCATCTCAAGGAGGGCCACTCTCCATGTTATTGCCTCTGTGTTAGTAGTAGACAAACTTATTACTTGGTTCTGGCTGACCTGGTGAGTTGGGGGGGGGGTTGTCCTGGGCCAGCCTCAGTTTTTGTCAGGTCCTGAATCCCTGGGTCTTGAGGGTGGGGTTTTTCAGTGATCCTGCCCTCTTCCACTGGTAGAGGGCCTTTAATGATCTGGGACCAGAATGGTTTCCTGCCCTTTTACCATGGGTGGAATTTTTTTTTTCAATTTCCCTCACTCAAGTCACAGTGAGGGAAATTGAAATTTTCCTGTGTCCTGAGGGCAACAAGGTTGCTGAAATTCTCCTAGTGGCTTAAGGATTTTGTTCCGTAAGGGAGTAGGGTCCCATTGGGGCTTTGTGCCATTTCTGTATTAGCAGCAGTCCCCTTGCAGTCGTACCCCACGGAGGTAGGCTTTCTCCAGTCTTCTTCCTTGCCCCCGTGTTTCTTGTGAGCACTCAGTGGATGTCTATGGAGAAGAGCCTGCAAGTAGAGGCCAACTACCCTTAGGTCTACAGCTCTCACGAGTCTCCCACACTCAACCTTTAGCAATTCATTAAAAATTCTTGTTGAATTCTTACTGCGTATATGGTGGCCTCATCTTCTTCCTTCCCACTTTCAAGCTAGTTGTTTGCTCTATAATCTTAGCTCTCTGAAGTGTTCAAGAAAAATAATGTTTTTGCAGATTACCCAGCTTTATTCTTGTCATGATGTCTGCATCCTAGGCAGGAACTAGAAGTCTGGACAGTCTCTACTGTCTCCTACTATCAGAATATATGCCCCTTTTCAGTGTGACTTTGCCACTTCACCCATCAAGAGGTAGGATCTATTTCTTCACCCCTGAAACTGGGCTTGACCATTTGTTGGCCAATGGAACATCAACAAATATTATACAAGCAGAGGCTTGAGAAGTGCCTGCACAATGAGGCTTGCCCACTTTTGCATCTCTTTGGAATCCTGAACCTGTGTTTGAAAAGCCTGAACTGTGCTGTTGGAAAATGAGAGAGATCACATGGAGCAGTAAGATCACATGGAGCAAACACCAGCCATCCCAGTTGAAACACCCTACACCAACACCACATGTCACAGCTATCTGACAGGAATAATGCATCTATAAACCAAATAACACCTGAGGCTCCCTAGCACCTTCAGAGGGAGCATGGCCCTGATGATACCATCATTCAGATCTCTAGCCTCCAGAGCTATAAGACAATTTTGCTGTTTTAGGCTGCCTAATTTGTGGTACTTTGTTATAGCAGCCCTAGGAATCAAATATGCTTCTTAGTCAAATCTATGATAGGTACTAGTGTATGAAGCCATCCTAGGCATCCAGTCTTGGTCAACGCAACTTTGGTTGGCAGCCTCTGAGATAACCCTGAGTGATCCCCACCTCTTGGCATTCGTGCTCTTATATAATGCCCTCCTCTTGAGTTTAGACTAGAATTAGTGACTTGGTTCTAGTGAAAAGAATGAGGCAGAGGTAATGGGATTTCATGTCCAAGATTAGTTACAAAAAGACTATGACTTCCATTTTGGGTGCTTGCTTGCTTTCTCAGATGGCTCAACATAGAGGAAACCTGCTGCCACATCATGAGATAGCCCTGTGGAAAGGCCCACATGAGTGAACTTGGAATCATATCTTCCCCAAGTTTAGCCTTCAGATGAGGACCACAGCCAGATAGCTTGACTGTAAGCCAGATATCATGACTCATGAGAGACCTTCAGCCAGAGGCATCTTTTGAGCCACACTTGAATTCATGACCCACAGAAACTGCGAGATAATAAATGTTGTTTTAAGCTGCTAAATTTTAGGGTAATTCGTTACACAGTAATAGTTTAATAATATACTGGCCCAGATTAGGAAGGTTCTGCCATCCATCCCAACCATCCAAACAACTACCAGAATAATGATTAAAACATTAATTAAGTCACTAAGTTTTGGGTGGCATGATACCAACCCAGAAAAAGCTAATTGATATATTCATTATTTATTGCGTTTCTTCCTCCACTGTTCTTCCCTAACAGATAACCAATACTAATCAACTACTGAGAACACTTTGTTTTCATATCTGCTCGTAATTATATATAGACATACATATGTTCCCATGCCTATAATCAGATAGAAGTTATATAAGGATTGTTTCCTTCTTTGATTTTCAAAAATGGGATCATAAATACAACTATCTCTGTAGCTTGCTTTATTATTCAACAATATTTCTTTTGAATGGTTTGCATGATCGTTCATGGGGTGGATATTCAATAACGTAGTATTAAACTATTTGCATTTTTAAAATTTATTCACTCCCATTTTCAACCTATTTGTCACTGGGAACAATGCTGTTCAAAATATTAAAAGATATTTTTGCTATTTTACAATATACAATAATGTAGTATATAGTGGTTAGGTAGATAAGCTCAGGAACCCATCTGCCAGGGTTTCAATCCTGGCTCTACTAGCTTTACTAACTAACCTTGGGAAGGTTAGTTAAACTCTCTGGTCCTGATGGTTTTCATCTGTAGGTACTAGTGCAGTCACACTAGTACCTATCAGTAGATTTGACTAAGAAGCATATTTGTTTCCTAAGGCTGCTATAACAAAGTACCACAAATTGGGCAGCCTAAAACAGCAGAAATTGTCTCATAGTTCCGGAGGCTAGAGATCCGAATCACAGTGTCAGCAGAACCATGCTCCCTCTGAAGGTGCTAGGGAAGGAACTGTTCCATGCCTTTCTCCTAGCTTTTGAGAGCCTCAGGTGTTATTTGGCTTATAGAGGCATTATTCCTGTCAGGTGGCTGTTTTCTCCCTGTGTTTCTTCATATGTTCCCTCTGTGTGTCTGTTTCCAAATTTCCCCTTTTATAAGGACACCAGTTATATTGGATTGGTGTTCACCTTAATGGCCCCATTTTAACTTCATTACCTCTGTAAAGACTCTATTTCCAAATCAAGTTATATTCTGAACTCTCTGTGCTTGGGACACTGAGGTGGGATTTGAGAGTTTGTTTCTGGCATCTTAGTGTCATCCAGCTATCTAAAGAAAATATAGGTGGTAACAGGAAAAGCAGGCCTAAGACCAAAGCTTGTGCTTTGGGTCGAGAAGGATATAAGTATAGAAGATAATGAGAAGGAGCAGCCAGAGAGGTAAAAACATACCAGGTGAGCAAGGGGCTCATAGAAGACAGTGTTTCCAAGGAGTGTTTTAATGGAGGACTTGTCCAAATTGCACATCAGTTCATATGAGGATGGAAAATTTGTTCTTGATTTTGTGACACAGAGGTTGTTGTTGGCTTTGATGAATGCTATTTTGGAAGTAAATTTAACTAAACAAAGCAATTGAGCAAATTCAGAGGAATTTCTGAATTCAGTTAGTGTTACTTCACCATAAAGCATTTTTTGTCACAGAAAAATATCAGGCCATGGACTGGATTACTCTGTTGTTTGGTAATCTGTCGATTACTCTGTCGTCTCATTTCTTATATTGAGAAATGAGAGTTGGCTAAAAGTGGAAATTACATGAGATTTGGAAGCCCAAAGGGAAGGAGCAACTATTGCTCAAATTGTCACTGTATCTAATCTCAAAGACTACTGTATTTGAGATTAGATACAGTGAAGGACAGATGCAGAGGTACCCAGCAGGTTCCAGTTTTTCCTATCTTCCACTCTATATCCACCCCTTCTTTCCAGCTTCCAGTCCTGCTGACCAACAGTAGTGCCAGGTCTACCACCAGATGCTTGGCTGCAGGCTCACAAAGGCTTCTCATGGATTTCTCCATCAGCTTCTCTTTGCAGTCCCACGTCAGCAGCTACATGTGCCTGGCTTCTCAGATTTTCCTGAAAGCTCTGATTTATCCATCCATGCCAATGTCCGTAAAGGGCTGGTTTAGTGATTTCTCTAGTCTTCTAACTTCCCCTTCCATACCTTCCCCAGCTACTCCTATACATTGTGCATGCATCCCTTATTCCATAATACTCATAGTTATTAAGCTTCCCTGATTGACACATTTATACTTTATTTTCCTGTGAATTTGGTAGATTGTGCTCTTCTAAAATTGAGTGATGTTATTGAGAAGTCTTAGACAAAATTGCTCTCTTTTTTCTTGTATATAATGTGCCTTTCTGCCATATGATTCTTTTTTTATTCTTTAAGTTAATGATCTATGGAAGCATATGCCTTGGTCCTGATTTTTGTGTATGAATTTTACCTGAATTATAGTGAGCCATTCCAATCATTCATTTCAGGGAAGTTTTATTTTGCTTAACATTTTTTTCTGATCCATTTCTTCTCTTCTTCAGGAACATCAATTATGCATATGTAAGATGTCTTTGTAATCTTCTACATTCATTTTCTACCAATCAACATTCATTTCACATTTTTTTTGTTTTGTATGATTGACTCTAGCCTTCTCTTCAGAGACAATTCTCCTTGAATCTCATGTTTCTTCATGTTTAGACATTAACAAGCAACTTGCTCAGTTTTATTTACATTCCAGGATAGTAAACACAGAGAATGTCTCCCTCCCTGAAGACATTCCCAGAGAAGATTTGGTTACATTCCAGGTTAATAAAGATTACATATATATATATATATATCTCCAAAGAAGAGGACGGGCAATAAAACAATATAACAAGATTTCCCCAACATCTTAATTATGTATATTTTAATCATATAGAAATATTGAAAACATACTACAATAAACATCCATATAACATCCATCTAGATTTAACAATTTATATGTAATTTTTCCTGAAATATCAGTGGTAAGTTATAGACATAACATTATACCCATAAATAATCGGACATTCATCTCCTAAAAATAAGGACATTCTCCCACAGACCTGGAATATCATTATCAATGTAACTCTATGATATCTTATATCCAGCCCATTTCCAAATTTCTCCCATTGTCCCCAAAACATATTTTACAGTTTTATAAGGTAGAATTGGCATACAATAAATGGAACTTGTTTAAAGTCTACAATTTGATGAGTTTTGCACCTTTCCAACCATCGCTACAATATGAACATATCCATCAACCCAAAAAAGTTTCCTTATACCTCTTTGTCATCCAGCCCTCTTTCCCCACATCCTTCCCCCATCCACAGGCAATCACTCATCTGTTTTCTATTATTATAGATTAGTTTGCATTTCTGACAATTTTATATACATGGAATAATACTATAGGCACTCTTGTTTGGCTCCTTCCATTCAGCGTAATTAGTTTGAGATTCATTCATGTTGTTATATGCATCTGTATTCATTCCTTTTTATTGCTAAGTGTTATTTCATTATATGGACTATCAGAATTTATTTGCCCATTCATATTTTGATGGAAATTTGTATTTCTAGGTTTTGGCTATTACAAATAAAACTGATGTGAACATTTGTTTACAAGTCTGTGTGGACATAGTTTTCATTTCTCTTGAATAAAGGCCTAGGAGTGAATGGCTTGGTCATATGGTAGGTGTATACTTAACTAAGAAATTGTCAAACTGCTTTCCAAAGTGGTTGTGCTATGTTACATTTTTACCAGCAGTATATAAGAGCTGCAGTTGCTTCATTTGGTATGATCATTGTTTTTAATTTTAGTCATTTAATGGGGGTGTAGTGGTATTTCACTGTGGTTTTAAATATACACTTCCCTAGTAAGTAATGTTGTTGAGCATCTTTTCTTGTGTTTATTTACCATCTGTATACCATCTTGGTTGATGTATCTTTTTAAACATTTTTCCCATTTGTAAATTCAGTTGTTTGTGTTATTATTGAGTTGGAAGTTTTCTTATATATCCTAGATATACCTTTTTTGGATGTATATTTTGCAAACAGTTTCTTCTAGGTTTGCTTTTTCATTTAAATAACAGAAGACCAAAAGTTTTTAATGTTAATAAATTCAGTTCATTTTTGTTTTCTTTATAGTTCATGCTTAAGGTCATGGTTAAGAAATTTTTGCAAAGCTCAAGGTCATTAAGATAAAAGTTTTTAAAAAGATTTATCTTATGCCTTCTTCTAGAAGTTTTATAATATTGGCTCTTATATTTGGTTACCTGATCCATTTTTATTTAATTTTGTATATCATGTAAATCCTTTCCAAAGATAAAGATTTAGGTTGATTTTGTTTTGTATATGGCTGTCCAGTTGTTCCAGAACCATTTGTTGAAAATAATAATGCACTGGATTGCCTTGATATTTTCATTTAAAAATTAATTGGCTGGTTCTGTTTTAGTTTTCTGTTATGCCAGTACCACTACTGCCAGTACTACACCATTACTATAGCTTCTGTACCACTGTAGCATTACTCTTTCCTGTAGCTTCATAAGTCTTGAAGTCAGATAATGTAAATCCTCTAACTTTATTCCTCTTTTTCTCAGATGTTTTGGCTATTCTGGTTTTTCTTTGAATTTCCATATAAATTTTAGAATCAACTTGTCAGTTACTATTAAAAGCCTGCTGGGATTTTGAGATTTAATTGAATGAATAGATCTATGTGAAGAGAATTGACATCTTAATGATATTGAGTTTTCATATCCATAAACAGGGTATATTGTTCCATTTACTTAGGTTTTTAATTTTTCTTAGAAGTGCTTTGTAGTTTTCAAGTGTACAAGTCCTACACATATTTTGTCAAATTCATCTCTAAATAGTTCATATCTGTGCTATTTTGAATGGTACTAGTCATTTTTAAATTTCAATTTCCAATACTTCTTTGCAAGTATATAGAAATATAATTGACTTCTATGTGTTGATCTTGTATACAATAACCTTGCTAAACTCACTTACTACTTCTGGTAATTCTGTAGATCCTGTAAGCTTTCCTACACAGACAACCATGTCATCTGTGAAGTATGAGAGTTTCACTTCTTCCTTTCCACTATAGGTGCTGTTTCTTTTTTTTTTGTCTTATTGCATTGACTAAAACCTACAGTATAATGTTGAATAGAAGTTGTCAGAGTATATATCTTTGCCTTTTTCTTGATCTTCAGAAGAAAACATTTAGTCTTTCACTATTGAGTATGATATTAGCTATATGTTTTTCATACATGATTTTTATCCGCTTGATGAAGTTGCCTGTATTCCTAGTTTGTTGATAGTTTATCAGGAATAGGTGTTAAATTTTGTCAAATGTTTTTTCTCCATCAAGATGATCATATAGTTTTTCTTTTTTAGTTGGCGAATTTTTTAAATTACATTATTGATAGTTAAACAAATCTAGTATTCCTGGAATTAAACTCTTCTTGGTCATGATGTACTACCATTTTTATATTTCACTAGATTCACTTGACTAAAAGTTTTGTTAAGTACTTTTGCATTTATGTTTATGTGGGGCACTGGTCTATCGTTTTCTTCTCTTGTATTTTCTTTGTCTACTTTTGGTATCAGGGTAATGCTGGACTCCCAGAATGAATTGGGAAGTGGTACCTCCTCTGAAAGAGTTAGTGTGGAAATTATATCTCCTTTTAATGTTTGATACAATTTTCCAGTGAAGTCATTTGGTCCTAGAATTCTTTTGTGAAAAGGCTTTTAACTACAAATTAATTTCCCTAATAGTTAGGAAACTATTCAGGTTGCCACATTCGTCTTCATTGAGTTTTGTTTGTATCTTTCGAAGGACTTCTCTATTTTACTTAAGTTGTCTAACTTAGGAACATGAAGTTGTTTGTCACATCCCCTTTTTATCTGTAGAATTGGCAGTGACGTCTCTTCTCTCATTCTTGATATCAGTAATTTGTGTATTCTCTTTTTTTCTCCTGATCAGTCTGGCTAGCAGTTTCTCAATTTATTGATTTTCTCAAGAAGCTATTAGTGTCCTTTATTTTCTCTACTGTTTTTCTATTTTGGATTTTATTGATTTATGCTTTTATTATTTCCTTTTTCTGCTTATTTTACTTAAATGTGCTCATTTTCTAGTTTCTGTGGTTGAAGCTGAGGTCACTGATTTGAGATTGTCCTTCTTTTGTAGTATAAAGTTTTAGTGATATAAATTATCCTCTAAGTACTAATTTAGTAGCATCTCACATATTTTGATGTTTTTATATTTTTACATTGATACTGTATTGTGATGATATTTTTACATTGTTTTTACATTTTCTTTAATTCAAAATACTTCCTAACTTAGGATTTCTTCTTTGTCCCATAGGTTATTCAGATGTTTATTATTCAGTATGCAAATACTTGAGAGTTTTTTACTTATCTTTTCTTATTATTTATAATTTGATTGATTCCATTGTGATCAGAGAACATACTTTATAGGACTTGAATACTTACAAATTAACTGAGACTTCCTCTATGGCCCTGAATATGGTCTGTATTGTTAAAAAGGTCCATGCATACTTGTAAAGAATATGTATTCTACTATTGTATAGCATGATCTATAAATGTGAATTAAGTCAAGATTTTTGTTAGTGTGGTTCAAGCCTTCTGTAGACTTACAGATTTTCCTATACAGTAGTCCCGCTCTTATCCACAGGGGATATGTTTCAAGACTCCGAGCGGATGCCTGAAACCCTGGACAGTCCTAAACCCTATATACTATGTTTTTCTAATCTGATAACCAAGATGGCTGCTAAGTGACTAGCAAGTGGATAGCATATGCAGCATGGAGTTGCTGGAAAAATGGAGGATTCACTTGCAGGCAGGACATAGTGGGACGGTGTAAGATTTTATCATGCTACTCAGAACTGTGAACCATTTAAAACTTATGAATTTTTAATTTCTGGAAATTTCCCTTTGATATTTGTGAACTGCAATTGACTGTGGGTAACTGAAACTATGGAAATCAAAATTACAGATAAGTGGGGACTACTGTATTTATTCTCTCAGTTATTGAGGAAAGGTACTGAAATCTCTAACTAAAATTGCGTTTTTTCTATTTCTCCTTTTAGTTATACCAGTTTATACTTTGTCTGTTTTGCAGCTCTGTTATCAAGTACACAAGCATTTAAGATTGTTAAGTCCTATTTTTAAGTAGACACTTTTATCACTATGGAATGACACTGTTGTGGTAAAATTCTTGCATTACAATAACCACTCCATGTTTCTTTTTATCAGTTTTAGCAAGTATGTATTTTTCCACTACCTATCTACATATCTTCTTATTGTAAAATGATTTTATACGTACAGAAGAACTATAAAGATAACAGAGTGTTCCCGCATACCCATCATTCATCTTCCCCTAATGTTAACATTATACATAATCTTGATAGATTTTTCTCTAAATAATAATGTTAATTAAACGACATACTTTATTGAGATTTCCCTTGTTATTTCATTACTGACTGTGACTTTGGAGGTCCCAAAGACCACCTTCAGATTCAATAATTCACTAGAAGCACTCACAGAACTCTGAAAAGCCACTATATACTGACAGTTACAGTTCATTACAGTGAAAGGATACATATTGAAATCAACAAGGGGAAGAGGCATATTGGGCAGAGTCTGGGAGACACCAGGCATAGAGTTTCTAGTTGCACTCTCCCAGTAGAGTAATGCAGTTAGCACTTATTTCTAGCAGCAATGATGTGTGACAATACACAGGGACTATTGCCAACCAGGCAGATTACCTGAGCCAAGTCTAGAGTTTTTATTGGCAGTCGGTTACATAGACATGACTGAGTTCCTCTGCATGGCTGACTTTACTCTCCAGCTCCTCCAGAGGTTAAGTGTTACTGCATGGCTCAAGACCCCCCAGGTAACCAAGGACATTCTTATCAAGCAGGACATTCCAAGGACCTAGAGGTTACCTCCTAGGAGCCAGGAACAAAAAGCCAGACCTTCTTTGAGCAAGATTAATCCTTTACTGCGTACTGACTCTTTTCTGTTCCAGGATGCAATCCAGGATGTCACATTAGACTTAGCTGTCGTATTTCCCTAGCCTCTTCCAATCTGTGGCAGCTCTTGGTTTTTCTCTGTTTTCATGACCTTGACACTTTTGAAGAATAGTCATGAATATTGTAGAATGTTCCTCAATTTGGTTTCATCTGATTTTTTGTCATGAGAAGATTGAGGTTGTGAATTTGAGGGATGGATATCACTAAATCATAGTCCCTTCTTACTGCATTATTTCAGGAGATAGTCGACACCAACATCATTTATTACTAGTGATGTTAATCTTGATCACTTTGTTATGGTGTTGTCTCCTGAGTTTTTCTGTTGCAAAATTATTATTTTTCTTCTTTCCATACTTTTCATTGGAAATGAGCCAAAGTCCCACTCATACTAAAGGGGAGTGCATTAAGCTCTACCTTCTGGACAGAGGGGTATCAAAGACTTTGTGGTCATATCTTAAAACTACCACAGGGGAATTTCTTTGATGTTACACAGATAATCTGTTTCTCCTTAAAGTTTTGCCCAGTAATTTCAGCCTTCAGCAACTACTGTGTTTTTCTAATAGTGATTTTCTGTTTCCTTCATTGCTTTCACATTTGTTGGATTACGTTTATAGATTTGTGTATGTTGAACCAGCCTTGCATCCCCAGGATGAAGCCTACTTGATTGCAATGGACAAGCTTTTTGATGTGCTGTTGCATTCTGTTTGCCAGTATTTTGTTGAAGATACTCACATAAATGTTCATCGTAGATATTGGCCTGAAATTTTCTTTTTTAGTTGTACCTCTACCAGGTGTTGGTATTAGGATGACATTGGTCTCATAAAATGAGTTAGGGAGGATTCCCTCTTTTTGTACTGTTTGGAATAGTTTCAGGCGGAATGGTACCAGCTCCTCTTTGTATGTCTGGTAGAATCCGGCTGTGAACCCGTCTGGACCTGGGCTTTTTGTGGTTGGTAGGCTATTAATTGCTGCCTCAATTTCAGACCTTGTTATTGATCTATTCAGGGATTCAACTTCTTCCTGGTTTAGCCTTGGGAGGGTGTAAGTGTCCAGGAATTTATCCATTTCTTCTAGATTTACTGGTTTATGTGCATAGAGATGTTTGTAGTAATCTCTGATGGTAGTTTGTATTTCTGTGGAATCGGTGGTGATATCCCCTTTATCATTTTGTATTGCATCTATTTGATTCGTCTCTCTTTTCTTCTTTATTAGTCTGGCTAGTGGTCTCCAGCTCCTAGATTCGTCAATTTTTTGAAGGGCTTTTTGTGTCTCTATCTCCTTCAGTTCTGCTCTGATCTTAGTTATTTCTTGTCTTCTGCTGGCTTTTGAATTTGTTTGACCTTGCTCCTCTAGTTCTTTTAATTGTGACATTAGGGGGTCAATTTTAGATCTTTCCTCGCTTCTCATGTGGGCATTTATTGCTATAAATTTTCCTCGAGACACTGCTTTAAATGTGTCCCAGAGATTCTGGTATGTTGTGTCTTCCTTCTCATTGGTTTCGAAGAACAATTTTATTTCTACCTTCATTTCACTATACAGTAGTCATTCGGGAGCAGGTTGTTCAGTTTCCATGTAATTGTGTGGTTTTGAGTGAGTTTCTTAATCCTGAGTTCTAATTTGATTGCCCTGTGGTCTGAGAGACTGGTTGTTATGATTTCCGTTCTTTTGCATTTACTGAGGAGTGATTTACTTCCAATTATGTGGTCAGTTTTAGAGTAGGTGTGATGTGGTGCTGAGAAGAATGTATATTCTGTGGATTTGGGGTGGAGAGTTCTGTAGATGTCTATTAGGCCAGGTTGGTCCAGATTTGAGTTCAAGTCCTGGATATCCTTGTTAATCGTCTGTCTCATTGATTTGTCTAGTATTGACAGTGGAGTGTTAAAGTATCCCACTATTATTGTGTGGGAATCTAAGTCTCTTTGTGGGTCGTTAAGACCTTGCTTTATGTATCTGGGTGCTCCTCTATTGGGTCCATATATATTTAGGATCATTAGCTCTTCTTGTTGCATTGATCCCTTTACCATTATGTAATGCCCTTTGTCTCTTTTGATCGTTGTTGGTTTAAAGTCTCTTTTATCAGAGACTAAGATTGCAACCCCTGCTTTTCTTTGCTCTCCATTTGCTTGGTAAATCTTCCTCCATCCCTTTATTTTCAGCCTATGTGTATCTTTGCATGTGAGATGGGTTTCCTGAATACAGCACACTGATGGGTCTTGACTCTTTATCCAATATGCCAGTCTGTGTCTTTTTATTGGGGCATTTAGCCCATTTGCATTTAAGGTTAATATTGTTATGTGTGAATTTGATCCTGCCATTTCGATACTAGCTGGTTGTTTTGCCCGTTAGTTGATGCAGTTTCTTCATTGTGTAGATGGTCTTTACCATTTGGTGCATTTTTGCAGTGGTTGGTACTGGTCATTCCTTTCCCTGTTTAGTCCTTCCTTCAAGAGCTCTTGTAAGGCAGGCCTGGGCTTTCACATTTGTTAATTGGGATTCTTCTGTAAGGAAGTTATGTCCTGTCTCCCCTGCTTATTTGTTTATTCAATCATTTACTTAATGTCAGTATGGATGAAGATTCTTTTTCTTTGCGTTATAATAAAATAAGATTTTATTCTTTGTGTTATAATCAAATACTACATTATTCATTATGTGGCACAAATTGTTACAGGCTTGGCTATTGTTAGATCTTTCAGGTTGGTTCCTGTGTTCCTTTTACATGACCCCATTCTTTTATTGGTAGTTGGTGGGGGGCACTTCCTTACTCTCTGGAACTATAAGGTGGTCCAGGCTTATCATGTATTTTCCTTGTCCCAGACAAAGAATCCACTATTTATTTCTCCAAGGAGATCTGGTTCCTTTTGCTGGAAAATGGCATTTAGAAATCAAGCTATTAAGATCAGGTATGTTCATTGTTACTGGTTTGTCACTGCTAGGAGTGTCACAGAGCTAGGAAATTCATGCTTGTATTCTAATCCATGTATGCACATATACCTATTTTTATTTCTTTATCTATCTGTATACATTGGATATAAACATAGCCGGGTGTGGTGGCTCATGCCTGCAATCCCAGCACTTTAGGAGGCCAAAATGGGCAGATCACCTGAGGTCAGAAGTTTGAGACCAGCTTTGCCACATGGTGAAACCCCATCTCTACTAAAAATACAAAAATCAGCTGGGCATGGTGGCATGTGCCTGTAATTCCAACTATTCAGGAGGCTGAGGCAGGAGAATTGCCTGAACCCAGGAGGCAGAGGTTGCAGTGAGCCACGATGACACCACCGCACCCCAGTCTGGGTGACAGAGTGAGACTCCGTGTCGAAAAAATAAATTAAATAAATAAATAAAAACATTAAGTTCATACTGACATCTCCAACTCAAATCCAGCACTGCAGGGTTCGTTCTAGCCTTCTCCCTGCCCTTGCTTATTTGTTCTTCTTTCTTCGTCAATTTGGAAGGAAAAACAGTTGACTACATTTGTGTGGGCCTATTTAGGATTTCTCTACTCTGTTCTGTTGATTTTTATTTCTGGCCTTTTGTCAATGCCACACTGTCTTCATTACTGTAGCTCTATAGCAAGTCTTGAAATTGGGTAGTGCAAGTTCTCCAACTTTGTTTTCTTTTTCAGAATTGTTTTGGCTATTCTTGCTCCTTTATTTTATCATGTTAATTTTAAAATCAGCTTGTTGGTACCTCAAAAGGGCTTTCTTGGAATGTGATTGAGATTATGTTGCATCTACAGATAAATTAGGGAGAATTGCTATCTTAACTATATTGAGTCTAACCATCTATGAGCATCGTTTGTCTTTTCATTTATTTAGATCGGGGTGTGCAATCTTTTGGCTTCTTTCAGCCACATTGGAAGAAGAATTATATTGGGCCACACATAAAATATGCTAACAACAATGATAGCTGATGAGCTAAAAAAAAAAAAAAGAAAAAAGAAAAAAGAAAAAAATCACAAAAACATCTCACAATGTTTTAAGAAAGTTTACGAATTTGTGTTGGGCTGCATTCAAAGCCATCCTGGGCTACATGTGGCCTGCAGGCCATGGGCTGGACAAGCATAATTTAGATCATCTTTTCTTTCTTTCTTTTTTAAATTTTTCAGCATATAGAGCTCACATATATTTATGTATACACACACACCTAAGTACTTCATTTTTGGCAATATTGTAGATGTTATATTTTAAAATTTCAAATTCTGATTGTTCATAGATAGTATATAGGATGCAACTGACTTTTGTATATGACAATGTATCCTGTAACCTTGCTAAACTCACTTACTAGTTCTGGGTAATTTTTTGTAGATTTGTAATATTTTCTACATAGACAATAATGTCTGGAAATATTCTTTTCCAATCTGAATGCCTTTTATTTCTTTTCCTTATCTTATTGCACTGTGTAGAACTTGTAGCACAATAAGAATAAGAATGATCAAAGAGGACACCTTGCCTTGCTTCTGATCTTAGGAAGAATGCATGTAATTTCTCATTGTTCAGTATCATGTAACTTGTAGGTTTTTGTAGATGCCATTTATTGGGTTAAATAATTTTCATTCTATTCCTAGTTTGCTATGAGTTTTTAAAAATCACAAATGGATATTCAGTTTTGTCGAATGCTTTCTCTGCATCTACTGAGATAATTATGTGATTTGTCGTATTTAATAGTCTGTTAATACGGTGAATTACAATGATTGATTTTCAAATGCTGAAACGGCTTTGCACTCCTGGCATGAACCCCTCTGTTATGATATGTTTTTATATCTATATATAAAATCATATTTACATATATCTATATATATAAAACTAATGTTTTGGTGAAGATTTTTATGTCATACTCATGAGGGATATTAGTCTGCAGTTTTTTTTTCTGTCATATCTTTTTCTGGTTGTGGTATTTGGGCAATGCTGGCCTAATAAAATGAATTGGGAAGTGTTCCCTCCTCTTTCTTCTGGAAGAGTTTATGTATTGTGAAATGTTGGCAAGGATGTGGAGAAATTAGAACTCTCATGTATTGTTTGTGGGAATGTAAAATGGCATAGCCTCTGAAGAAAACACTTGGTGGTTCCTCAATAAATTAAATGTGTAAAATTGTCATATGACCCATTAATTCTACTCCTAGGTATATGCCTAAAATACAGATTCTCCTTGACTTACGATGGGGTTATGTCCTGGTAAGCCCACTATAAGTTGAAATATCACAAGTCAAAAATGCATTTGAACATTCTTAACCTACTGAACATCACAGCTTAGCCCAGCCTACCTTAAACACACTCAGAACACTTACATTAGGCTACACTTGGGCAAAATTATCTGGTAACACAGAACACCGTGGAGTACTAGTTGTATATGTTGGGTATTGTAAACCACAAAAGTAACCAAATTTCTTTGTCAATTGTGCTTCTAACTGCATCCAAACTGGACATTTTGTTATTTACAGACAATTGTCATTTTGTTTTAATTCTCTTCAAAACATGGTTTATATTCAAGCTGTGTGACTTTAGCAGGTGCTTTCAAATGCAGGTTTTCAACAACAACACCACACACAGAAGTACGGAACTCATAAAAAGCTCAACTGTTTACAAATATCAAGCAAAACAAAAGTTAATAAAAAGGAACTAAACTAATAAAAAACAAAAACAAGTTTATACCTTTTGCTTGGAACACTGCTAATCCTGATTTCATTTTTCAAAGTCAAGAAAACTTGTCATAAGCTAGCTGCAGGCTTTAATAACTAAGTAAAGTATACTCCTATAAATAGGATTGAAAGTATGTTTGTTTTTCTCTGCCTAGTTCGTCTAGAATTTGAAAACTAGTTATAAGTATTCTGAAGCTACAACAATATAGTTGTTTGCATGAGTGCAGTAAGAATCTATTTTCTTTTGTAACAGAACACAATTGGAAAAATTGGTTATTCTGCCAACGCCTTGAGTGGAATGATATGCTCTCCTTTAAGGAATCGAACTTGACTTATGGAACTTGACCAATAAAACTCCTGGAAAATTGGCCTCATATTTTGTGTATGTGGTCCCTGTACAGGGTTTCTGATCTGTGGTAAGAATGTCACTTTCTGACAGGCCAGGAACCCCAAGTTATCTTAAAACTTCAAGAGAAAAGGAATTTGCCCAACTCATGGGTATTTAACAGTACAAATCCATGGCTGGGCTTGACTTTAAAGTCTTATCTCAAATTCCTTCTATGGAACAAAGTTCCATCAAAGCCAATTTCAAAGGCCTATGTAGCAAGTAATTATTCTTGCTGCACTTTATACAAATAATTAAGCCAAGTATAATAAAACAAGCCAGTCCTACGTAATTCGTCTTTTAATAAAAATGGGAAACTAGAGAATGAAAATTATGTTTCAAAAACTGTAGCACACCTGTTGTTAAATTCTAGTCTTGCCTAACGTTTTTCCATTTTTATTATTTGCTACAGTTTAAATTATATCCATTACAGAAATCAACTCCTGGTTATATCACACTCAACTCAAAACCTAAAAAGCTAAGGAAGCAAACCCTAGCAGCCCAGGGAAACATCCAAATATCAATGTAAAGAAATAAGAAATCTTAAGCTGGAAATCATAAAAAATAAGTAACTGAGTGAGAAGTACTCATCTTACTCAGTCTCACCCCTACCTCACCAAATTCTTTGTGTCGTTTCTACCTCTCCTTTTAAGCCAAATATTAAAACCTTTTTAATGGAAATTATTTACTCCGCCACCCTTGAGGGAATTGCTATACTCACTCTACTATTTGCAGTAGGACTATATACTGTAGCACCCTCGGGGTGAAATATTGGACAGAAACTCTCAATTACTGTAGCATTTTGCTTAATTATTAGCCTCATAGCAGGAATAACAGTTACTAACAAAAATAACACACGAGCCTTTCCAAACATGTGCCTCCTCTTCTCATTGGGTAAGGAATGTTTCTATCTCAACCAGCTGGGCCTAGCAAAACAGGCTGCTGAAAAACTAAAAAAAAAAAAAAAAAAAGAAAGGAAAAAAAAACAGGGATGGGGAGGAGGCTAAAGAGCTAAGGATATATCAAAATAACCAAATAAAGTATTGGTTTAAAAACAAAATCACAGCATGGGTCAACCCACTCCTGGGCCCTCTCCTAGTAATATGCCTAGGACTAATGTTCTTCCCCTGCCTAATTAACATTTGTCAAAGATTTTTAACTGACAAGATGATGGCCATTTCACAGGCAACTACCAAAAACATCTACAGACAGTGTTGCTCTTGCAGTCAATCCCCAAGACCAAGAAACTCTCCACCCTCCCCCAGCAGGAAGTAACCAGAAAGAACACGTTGCCCTTGTCCTTTTATAACTATAGGGTCTGGAATGACAGAGCAGGAGCAGACAGCAAAACACAAATAAGATAGCTCAGGCACAGAGGAAGGCAGGGAGAAAGTCTCTTGGGTAACTGCCAAACTTCACCCTCATACAATGGCCCCTAGTAAAACAGTGGGCCTTCATAAGCACATTCCTTTCCCTTCAGGTGCACTAAGATAGGGAAGCTAAATGCAGACTCGGGGGATATGCCTGCAGCTGCAGGAAGATGTGTGAACAGACACAACTCTCCCTCCCAGATAATCACAACAAACAGACACAGAAGCAGTCCAAGCCTCTGATAAACTCTCCTACCCTGAATCCTTAAAAATTCTCTGACCTAACTCTGCCAGAAGCTCCTTTCAGGTGTATTTCTCTAAAATGAACCCGTCTTTGACTGTCGTGCCACCTTTCATGTTTCTTTCCTCTTATTTTAATTCTTACAGTATACCCTTGTGAACACATGGATGACTGGGAGCTGTGGCTCACTACCACTGCCCAGGATCGTGAGAAACTATCATACTACTTTCTACTGAATGTGTCGTTTTTACATCACTGTAAAATTGAAAAGTTGTAAGTTGGAGACCATCTGCAACTGAAAACAGGTGTTCAAGGAAAAACTTGTACACTTACATTCGTAGAAGCACTAGTCACAATAACCAAAAGGTGAAAACTACCCAGTGTCCATCAACCAATGAATGGATAAACAAAATGTAGCATATCCATACAATGGAATGTTATTTAGTTATAAAAAGGATTGTGTCATGGATATGTGCCGTGATATCGATGAACTTTAAAACCATGCTAAGTAAAAGAACCCAAACACAGAAGGCCACAGTATTTTATGATTTCATTCACATGGAATATCCAGAATAGGCAAATATGTAGAGATAGAAAGCAGTAGTGGTTTCCAGGGGCTGAGGTGAGAGGGGAGTGGGAAGTGATTGCTTAGTGGGTATGGAGTTTCCTTTATGTAGTGATGAAAATATTCTGGAATTAGATAGTTGCTCAAATTTGTGAATATACCAAATGCCACTGAACTATACATCTTAAAATGGTTAGAATGGTGAATTTTATATGTATATCTGACCACAATAAAAAATGGATCATAGATCTAAATGTAAAACATAAAAGTATAAAACTTCTAGAAAAAAACAAGGAAGAAAACCTCATGATCTTGGGTTAGCAAAGATTTCTTAGATATGACATGGAAAAGCACAATGCATTAAAAAGTATTGAAAATTTTGACTTTTAAATAAAAACGTTGTGCCGTATTAAAAGAAAAGCCAAAGGCCAGGGTAAAATAATTACAAAACATAAATCTGGCTTATATTAAGAATATGTAGATCAGGCATGGTGGCTCATGCCTTTAATCCCAGCGGTTTGGGAGGCCAAAACAGGAGGATTGCTTGAGCCAGGAGTTTGAGACCAGCCTGGGCAACATAGTGAAACCTCATCTCTACAAAAATAAAAAACTAGGCTGGGTGTGGTGGCTCACACCTGTAATCCCAGCACTTTGGGAGTCTGAGGCGGGTGGATCACAAGGTCAGGAGTTCAAGACTACCCTGGCCAAGATGGTGAAACCCCGTCTCTACTAAAAATACAAAACTTAGCCAGGCATGGTGGCAGGCTCCTGTAGTCCCAGCTACTCAGGTGGCTGAGGCAGGAGAATCTCTTGAACCTGGGAGGCGGAGGTTGCAGTGAGCCAAGATTGAGCCACTGCACTCCAGCCTCGGTGACAGAGTGAGACTCTGTCTCAAAAAACTTAATAAATAAAATAAAAATAAATAAAAAACTAGCCAGGCATTGTGGTACATTTCTGTAGTCCTAACTACTGGAGAGGCTGAGCCCAGGAGATCAAGGATACCATAAACTATGATTGTGCCACAGCATTCCAGCATGGGCAACACAGCAAGACCCTGTCTGAAAAAAAAATATGTAAAACAACTCTCAAAATGCTGTATGTAAACAATCCATAAAATGAGCAAAAATCTTGAGCAAATGTTTTACCAAAAAAAATGACAAATAAGCACATGAAAATATGCTCAACATTATCTGCCATTAGGGAAATGCAAATTAAACCACAATGAAAGACACCTACACACCTCTTAGAATGGCTAAAATTAAAAAGCCTGATCATACCAAGTGTTTCAAAGGATGTCAGCCAATTGGAGCCCTTATACGTTACAGTTTCATATACAATAAATCATACAACTCAGTAATCCCATTTTTAGGTATTCACCCAGGATAAATAAAAACTTATATGCACACTAAAACCTGTGGATGAATGTTTTAAGCAGTCTTATTCACATTGTCAACCTGGAAAGAACTCATATGCCCTTCAACTGGTGTATCATGACTGTGGTGATTGATGGCTCCATGCATTTATCAAAACCCATAGAAATGTATACCACAAGAAGCAGATTTTACTATATGGAAAACTTTTGGAAAGGATTTGGGGGAAACCCAAAGTGGAATACAAACTTTAAAAAATGAACCAACGATCTTTGGCTGGGCACAGTGGCTCACACCTGTAATCCCAGCTCTTTGGGAGGCCGAGGCGAGCAAATCACTTGAGGTCAGGGGTTCAAGACCAGCCTGGCCAGCATGGTGAAACCTCATCTCTAAATACAAAAATTAGCCAGGTGTGGTGGCGTGTGCCTGTAGTTCCTGCTACTAGGGAGGCTGAGATGGGAAAATCGCTTGAACCTGGGAGGTTGAAGTTGCAGTGAACTGAGATTGCACCACTGCACTCCAGCCT